GGCCACGGCAGACGACGAATCGCGTCTTTCGGCATCTCTGCCAACGCTTGGAATCTTCTTCGGGTCTGGTTTCTTTCCGTTGCGCTCTTCTGTTGGTTTGGTCAATTGCTGGCGCAGTTTGGATCTATCCTCGGGTTTCTGGTTTTGCGGCGGCTTTTCCCCGTTCGTTTTAGACTTATTCTCCTCTCCCAATTTGGGAATTCTTTTCGAAGGAGCGGAAACACCCTGTAACCGAGCCTGCTCCCTCTTCTCCTTTGCTTCCCTGATCTCCTTTTCACGTTCTGCCTCGCGTTTTTGTTTTTTGGTCAGAAGTCGCTCTTCATCCTTATCCTTCTTTTGTTCCACAACGATTGGTTCAAATTGTTTCTTCTCAGCTAACTTCAATAAGTCTAAAAAATATATTGTTATTAGATAGATAATAGTTTTGTTATTAGATGTATATATGAATTGATAAAAGAAATGATTCTATAATTACCTGAGAAATTGATTACTGGAGCAGCCTTCAGATGAGGCTTTTTCACCTCTTTCTTCTCTTCCCTTTTTTCCTCAACTTTATCATTCTCATAGACATCACTATTTTCTCTTTTCCTTTTCCTTCTATGTGGCTGATTAGCCTCCTCCTTTTCCTTCTCTAGAGCTGCTCTCACTCTATCCTTTGTGTTGCTTAGATTGGTGCTAACCTTTTTCTTGCCCAAACTGAATTTTGGTTCATCAGGCATTTTGCTGTACTTCTCCATCATCTTGTTGTAGAATTCTGATGCGCTCTGAGACACGTATCCGTAATCGTCCTCATCGGGTTGGCATGCACCTGCCAACGTGATGGCAGTGTTATCCGAATCTACGGCGTCCTGTATCACTGACTGGTTCGCCGATTTCGTTCTCTTTAGCATAACGTTCACCCTTCTGGTGGCCTTCTTGTCTTTGGATCTGAGCTCCAGCAGTTGATCCCTGCGTTTATTGGCATCGTTTGTCTTCTGCTTTTCCTCCAGTTCCTTTCTGGCAAGAAACTTCTGGATGTTCACAGAAAGCGTCTTCGAGCGCTGCTCCTTTTTCGGAGGCTCAAATTTGGTCGAATAATATTTAATCTAGAACAGAATGAATGCGACAATGAATATGAGTCTGGGTCGTAAATATTTGCATATATATACATACTTCTTTCTTTGAACCCTGGCCATTTTTCTGAGCCTTGCTCAGAAGCGTACCGAAATCCATAATTGTGATTAAAAATTGTGTGGTTCGACGATGAAATCTTGAAATATTATAGATTTAAGTTATGAGCACGGCCACTGGGATGTGGTACACTTCACTACCTTTAGATGATACTGACGAATTGAATACCACAAACAGCTGTTCTCACTGACAACTTGCTTCTGTCCTGTTCTGGTCCGAAGCAACGTATATATGCCCATCTCCTAGTACACCAGATCTGGGGATTTCCGTTGCCAACCCAAAAGTGGCGAGACGTGCGCATGCCCAAGATCACGTGGAGTGTGGTAAATTGAAATTATTGCACCTGCAATAAAAGTGAAAGTACAATTTTAAAATTTTATGATCGTTCATCTTAAACCATTACAGAATTTCTGGAAAAATTAAAATAATAATGCCCTAACACAAGTTTGGAAATACATTTTGGTGGAAAATTGAAATTATTGCATCTGCAATAAAAGTGAAAGTACAATTTAAAAATTTTATGATCGTTCATCTTAAACCATTACAGAATTTCTGGAAAAATTAAAATAATAATGCCCCAACACAAGTTTGGAAATACATTTTAGTTTTGCTTTCACAGGACACACAAATTATATTTATAAACTATAATCCGCTATAAATAAAAATGCAATGACAAAAAAGCAAAGATGGTTAAAAAAATACACAAGAATATATGTACAAAAGTCTTGTAAATGATGTGGCAGGTGAACATCCGGGACTTCTCGTCGCTACTTGCCACTCGTTATGCGAAACGTCGCTCGTTAAATGACTCATTTTGTTTTTAAGCTTTGAATTGAAGGTAAATGAAGATTAAAGAAAAATATTTCATAAAATGTATTATTTATTCGTTTCGTACATGTTTGGTTCGAAGAGGTTTCTAATGTAATTAATCTTATCTTCGCCATAAACTAAATCTTTCCACTCTTCAAAATGAGTCAAGTGTCGAACCTTCGTTTGGTACATGCCTCTCAGTTGCACATGCAGCTTTGTAAATGCCTTGGGTCTAATCAGCAGAACAGCGTATCTAGAATAAATGGAATCAATAGGCAAAGCGTTCGTCCGTGACCTGCAAGAGAATATGGTAGTGCTCACTTGACGTCCTCCTTGGCCTGAACAACGTAATCTATGTGACAACCGTACGGTGTTATGACATCGCTCAAGATATTCTTGGAGTTTTGGAAATACTTGATCAGGTAGAGTTTCACCTTGAAGGAGAAGCTGCGGTCGTAGAAGGCATTTTGTGAGACTGAAACAAGTTAAGTTAATTAGCATTTTCGTAGATTTTTCTTTGTATAATTTTTCATTTACTTAAAGTCGCCTTACGTTCAACCTCATCTATATACTTTTGATGAAACCAGGGCACGTTCGATTCCGGATAATCGATGCAGACAGTCCGATTAACATGAGTCTATTCTGCGTCTAATTTCTCTAGGAATTGCGGCGTGAAAATCTGCTTAATGAACGTGTCCGAAAGGTAATTAAAATAGCTTAATCCGAGGCAGCTCTGTATGTAGGAGAGATTCGGCATTCTTTCCTGGTCCCTTTAACACGTATGAAGTAAATCTGTGTTAAAATTTGCGTTCACATTTACCTGACGATTAAATCTGAGAAACTGTTGAAAAACTTTTCCGAATTCTTCGGAATCTATCCGCAATTGTAGCAGAGGTACATGACCTTTTCGGCGTTAACGGCCATCACGTAATTTTTGGATCCCGAGACATAATCGGCCATCGCGTCCAAAATGTTGGGCAGGAAGAAGTTGGATGAGAGAAGAGCATAGGACATATACTTGATGATCCTGGAGCACATGTCTTCGCTGTTAACTTTGGCTTGCATCAATTTCGACATCATGTGTTTGGAGCGACCAGCTCCCCGACACATCATCGTCTTGATCAGCAGTTGCAGCTTGCTCATATTGATCTCGTCCTCCTGCAGATCACGTTTGATGCACTTGTCGATGGTAGCATTAAAGATGTTCACGTACCGCGACTGCAGCAGTCGGTTCTGAGATTGATACAAACCTATCTGGAAGCTCTTGCTCAGATTATAACAGTCCACCGCGTTGATTTTCTGCCACTGGATGCTCCGTTTGTTCACCACGTGATTAAGAATGGAAACGTCGTTTCCATAGGCCAACACGAATGAAGAGAGCATCGCGAACCTCGCCGGGATATAATTGATGATGCCCTGCTCAATCTCACCTTCCAACCACTGCTTCAGCCGCTTCTCTAATTTTACGTGCCTCAGGTTCGTGCTCTGATGAAAGTTGATGTAGTTGTTGCAAACCTTAAGCAGATATGCGTTTTTGAACTCCAGGTTTTGCTCCATCACCTTGAGCAGTTTCGTCCAATAGGCTTTGCACATTAGCGGATCCGAGTTCTTCATGTAAAATAGCACCTTAAAAAAGTCCAGCAGGTTTTGACCCGACATGTCGTATTCCATGAACTTCTTCACAATATTAATGAATTGCAGCCGCTGCGAAGGCAACGAAAAGGACGCGATGCACGAGAGCAACTTCAAGCGCACCTCAAGAGACCCCGTCTGATCGCTGTCCAATTGATGTAAAAACTTTAACGCGCATCTTTGCGTCTCGTTCACAATCTCCGCTGGTTCATAGTTCTTCAGCAACACCTACAATCAAACCAGACATTTTACATCATCATCAACACTCGCAATCAATAAGAACCCACGTCGAAAACATTAATTAATTGATGCACATTCAGTATATTAATGTGGTTCTGCAACTGCATGATGCACTGGCTGATCAGCAATGTATTTCTGTACCTCCAATGTGGAAAATTCAAAAACATCACGACTTTCAGGATAGTCACATGTTCGTTCTTGTTGATCACCCCATTCTCAATCAGACCCCTCACTTTATTCTTATATTTCTCCAACACCTCTTCAGTGACTATCTTATTTAGATTATTTAAACAAATTGAAATGGACCTAATATCCTCAGCAGTATCACACTTATCTAAAACAAAACAGAAAAAAACCAATTATAATTTAAACAACAAAACAATGTTTCACTGCAATTAGTTATCAATAAAATTATAAATATGTGGTATAAGATTTTTGCAATAAAAGTATGAGGCTAAATTGTAATTGCTGAACACTGTTTGCGTATACCTAGAGGCTCCAACCACAGAAAAATCTTCACAAAGTTTCCTTTCCAACTCCCTAATTAATTTCTGCATAGTGTCATGTCCCACATCCACTCCAATCTTATACAAATATAGTAGAGTAGCACTAAGTACATTTGGATCATCAAATTCATCCTCCTTTATTGATTCCAACAAACTCTTGATCTCCTCCTGATTTAGCAGCTGACAAATATAATCATTCAAGAGTGCCTTGATCTCTGGTTTTTCATTTGTTATTGTATTTATGTGACAGAACATCTTTTGCAGATCCCAGAGCACAAGCACAATCTGTGCATGATGGGTGTAATCAAGGATATTGGAAAACTTGTTGACTAAGTTCAACACATCGTGCACGCAGGAGCACTTCTTGATGTCATTTATGAGGGGATCACTGGAATTTGGATAGAGAATGTCTTTCACCAGCATCGGTTGATCTTGGTTTAAAATATTATTGAAATACTCTTCAGAATCAAAGGCTTCATCATCGTTTATATAGCAGGATTCTTCATGGTATTCATGCAGTGCAGTGTTAGTGTGAAAGTTTCTGATGAAATTCGTGAAAATTTTAATTTCTTCGCCGCTAAAAATGTGGACGGTCTTAATTTGTAGCTTCTCATAAGCTGATAGGAAATCCATCGAAGAATCAGCATTTTATGATCGCAGTAATTTGAAATTTAAATTACACTTTTTCTTAGGTTAAGTTTTTGGACTACGCTCTGACTTCAGGGATGACCACCTTCGATAATATTTGTATTTGGCTAAACTACATCCTACCGTAAAATAATCACTCGAGCATTTTATTTTGAAAGAGGAATACAATTTATGAACTTTAGTCTAATAGGATTTCTGCTATTTATTATCATTTGATAATATATCAAATGTTGGACAACCCTGGAAAATAATGTATTGTATGCAATACATTTAAGCTAGAATATATTTAAAATTTTAATACAAAACCGTTTGCATTAGATTTATATATACTAAAAAAAACAGCAAAATGAGAAATGTTGAAATTAAGGCCAAAATTAGAGACATGGTCAAGATTTTAGCTAAAGCGAAGGAGTTGAGTGGTTCAGAGGGTGTCAGCATCCCTCAGCATGATACATTTTATAAAGCCCCTCTGGGAAGATTAAAATTACGCCGATTCGAGCTTAGTTAATTATTGTTCAGTGGATTCTTATTTGATTGCTTAAAATTTTCTCGTCAATATATTTAAAATATTTTGGTAATATGCTAAAATAAAAAAGAGTATGTGTTGAATATAATTATATATTCAATTATTTATTCGTAAAATTGCTCAATTGAAAAACCGAAACCGGTGTCGTGTGCTGGGATGGAATATCTCTGGACCTGGATATTTATTAATACAGCAAATTACAAAATAAAAAAAGACTCAATAGAATAGTATAAATATCACAAATCAAAAAAGTCAACTGATTCAAAGGGCTATTGACTATAGGTCCTTCTGCCCGTTCAAATTTTTATTTTGCGATATAAAAACTTTGATGGTAGTATGCCGGTGCTAAAATGTATATCGTTATATTTGATGTTTTACTCGATTTTAACTAATTTAAATTGTTTTTTTTTTCGATTTTAAATTTGAATTGTAACCGGAACCGAACCGAAACTGAACCGAGATTTTTAGACAAACCGAAGTTGCAACGATATATATTTACTTTGAACGTAACCGTAAAGAAATTAATTTCGGTTCACTCTATACTTTATTCTGATTGCTTAGATTAAAAAGGCGATTACAAAAATGAATGTCAATTGTAGTCTATACTCTAAAATTTTAGTAAAACTAATATAGTATGTACAATCATGCCTAGTATTTTTAATTTAGACAGGAAACGCAGAATTGATATACTATGATAGACCAGATGCGGAAGGACCGTCTCTATCTGAATTTGAGCTTCACGATGTCCAGGCACCGAATGTTAACTCTTTGAACAATGTTCTATCCAAAGCTTTGGGAACTATAGGGGACGTTAAAAAAATTCGCCAACTGTTCATAGTTGGTCAAACCAGAATTCATGTCGATAAAGTTGAGAATCTTGGAGATTTCATGGAATTAGAGGCGCAGTAAAGAATTTGCGTGATTTGCGATTAGTGTGTTCCAGATCAGTCCTCTGTATCGCAGCTCCGAGGCGCCATTGAGCGATGATGCTTACCAGACACATAAAAAACAGACGATGAACGAACTCGAGTAAACAAAAATAATTCCATCGCCTTCGAAAAATGTTTATAGATCAGACACATAAAAAAATACATGAATTTGCAAAACAAACTCTACAACGCAACATGAAGAGCGAATACATGAATATAAATATACGAAAGACAATGTGTGACACAATACTTGGTAATGAGAACAACCTTAAAATTGAAAATTCAAATAAATGCAACACACTAACTGTAATAACGGCTGTTGCCATATAAGAGAGGGGGAAAAGCAAATGTGAATCGAGTGTACGACTCTCTCACGTCTTTCCTTGACCAATAAAAAACTATGAAAACTTTTGTAAACC